CCAGGTGAGGCTGCGGTGGCCGGGAGCAGCCACTGCACTCCAGTCTGGGCGACAGAGTGAGACTCCAACTCAAAAAACAACAACAAAAAAAGAATTTTGAATATAAATATGAGCTGGATGTGGTGGCTCAAGATTATTCTCAGCTACTAGGGAGACTGACCGGAGGGGATTGGTTGAACCTGGGGGTTCAAGGCTGCAGTGAGCTATGACTGTGCCACTGCACTCGGGCCTAGGGGACAGAGTGATAACCTGTCTCAAGAAAATTCTATATATAAATACTTAAGTGAAATAAAACATATTCACTTGGTAGACCTTAGAGAAGATAGTATTTCCCCAAATGCCCATCCAAAAATCGAACCTGAAGCATTAGCTGGGGTGACTGTTCCCGTTCCATCCGTAAGAAAGTAAGGCTTTAGCTTGGACATTGCTTCAATATTGCTCCCATGGCGAGGAAACTCATCAGTTTTAACTTCAATAAGACCTGAAAAAAGGAAAACCAGATTAGTAGAGATGGAAGTGAGTGTGCTGGGAATGGTAGATTTCTCAGACATGAAACATGAGGACTTACATTTGGTAGAAAGGTTTATTAATATACAATGGACCTAAAAAAAAGCCAGAATTATCTTTTAGAGGGCAGGTCCCTTGTTGAACAGGCTCCTCCACCAGGTAAGTGTCTAGGAACCCATCAGCATCAGTGTACTAGCTAGCGTTGTGAGACACTGTATTTGGCTTCAGTGAATTTTTTTTGTGGCTAACAGGTGACTGCTTCTTCCACTATGACAATGCACCTGCCCACACGGCACTAAGTGTTCAGCAGCTTTTGACCAAAACAGCATGACCCCTATGCCCCACTCTCCCTATTCACCTGATCTCGCCCCATGCAACTTTTGTTTCCCCAATCAAAATAGTTCTCAAAGGGAAACGTTTTGCTGATGTAGAAGAGAGGAAACAAAAAATGGCAGTAGCACTAAAACATCAAAATTGCTAAGTTTAAAAACTGTTTTGAGCAGGGGAAAAGCATATTATATCAAAGAGATTCCTTTGAAGGTGACAGAAGTTTAAACATGTGAGAATAAATACACAATTTTAAATAAATTCTGGGTTTTTTGAGGTGCCCCCTCATTAACCACGTTTGTTTGACTAAGAGGAAAGTACACACTAAGAATTATTGTATGTTAACTGACCTAAGACATTTTCAAATCCATAGCCCTTCATGAGGAAAGTAGTTGGTTACAGGACTGGTTTGTGCAAAAGGTGGCTCATGCCTATATTCCCAGCACTTCAGGAGGCAGAGACAAGAGGACTGCCTAAGCCCATGCGTTCAAGACCCGCCTGGGCAACATGGTGAGACCTCGTCTCTACAATAAATCAAAAAATGAGCTGGGCATGGTTGCATGTGCCTGTAGTTCCAGCTACTTGGAAGGCTGAGGAAGAAGGATTGCCTGAGCCCAGCAGGTTGAGGCTGTGGTGGCCGTGAGTGTGCCACTGCACTCCAGCCTGGGCAACAGAGTGAGACTCTGACTCAAAAAAAAAAAAAAAAAGGTTGCTGTGGTGGTTTGGGTCATAGCACTCAGCTGGTTACAACTCAGAGGATCAGGGAGTCTCAGAGTTAATCCTTTACTGGCTGAACATAAGAGATGCCAGTTACAAATGCAAGAACTTGACTGGAGCAATCTATATTAGAAAATGGCAAGTGACCCAAAAATATACACCCTCTAGAAATATGAACATGAGACATACACAGAAACAGCAAGAAGTAACAGATGTTCCGAGGAGGTTTAGTCTATACAAAGAACTAGTCAACAGTTGCCTCCTAACAACCATGGCCAGTGCTCCAGTTTCTCATGAAACCTGCTGCACATCGCAGCAGCCATGGACATTGGGACCAAGAGTGTCTGAATGCTGACTCAGTTCCTCATGTTACGTTTAAACAGTATCCCCAACCCCACCATTCATGTATCCCAGACATATCTTTGCAATCTGAAAAACAAAACTGAGATTCAATTTATAGACATTCCTGTATAATATTCTTTGGGTGTTACTCCTCATCTATAAGTAGGTTGATATACTTTTTTTTTTGAGAAGTAGTCTCACTCTGTTACCCAGACTGAAGCACAATGGCAAGCTCATAGCTACAAGTGCCTCGACCTGCTGATTCAGGTGATCCACCTCAGCCTTCCAAGAAGGTGGAAGCACAGGTGTGCACCACCACACCTGGCTAATTTTCTTTATTTGTTGTAGAGACAAAGTCTCACCAAGTTGCCCAGGCTGGTCTCGAACCCCTCTTGCCTCCACCTCCAAAGTGCTGGGATTATAGGCATGAGCCACCACACCCTACAGGTTGATGTTTAAATCATTATGATTTAAATACTCACCTTTTCTAGAAGACACAAACACTGGTACAATCTCTTTGTCAAAATGGCCAGCTTTCTGTGCACTCTCGGTCCTGTTCTGGGACAGAACTGCAAGCTTGTCCTGATCTTCTCTACTCACTTGCCATTTTTTGGCTACATTTTCAGCTGCAAAAAGGGGAAAAAAGCAAAAAAACCAACATTTTCATGAACTGGCTTTTGGTAGTTCAAGCTGCTCATTTTTTTTAATCAAGCTCTGACCACACACACACTAGCAGGCTCATAGGTGGGCTAGGGGGAAAGGTTCTGTGTGGTATTGCCATTGGCAATGGATTTGGAAATATAGTGGCTCTTAGGAAGCCATTTCCTTTCTTCCTTCTCTCCTTGCCTTTCTACATAATTGTAAACTTCCAGAAACTTCACCCAGATTCACCATTTATATTTTTGCACCATTTGCTTGAACATTCTCTTTCTGAACCATTTGAGAGAAAGCTGGAGGTACAGTGCCATTTTACCCCTAAATTTTTACTTCCATATATATTTCCCAAAAGCAAGGTCACTTTCCTATACAAGCACAGTTATAAGATTCTGTTAATATATTTTGTTAATTAATTAGTCTTGCTGTTACCCAGGTTTGAGTACAGTGGCATGATCATAGCTCACTGTAACCTCAGACTCCTGGGCTTAAGCAATTCTCCTACTCAGCCTCCCAGGCATCTGGGACTACAGGCCACCATGCCCAACTAATCTTTTAGTATTTATTGTAGAGATAGAGTCTCACTGTTGCCAAGACTGGTCTTGAACTCCTGGCCTCAAGCAATCCTCCCGCTTCAACCTCCCAAAGTGCTGGGATCACAGACATGAACTATTGCACTGGCCAAAATTAGGAAATTTAACATAGATCCAACACTATTTAATCCTTGGTCTACACTCAGATTTTACCTATTGTCCCAATAATGTCCTTTTGGCTCCTTTTTGTTCAGGATCCAATGCAGGAGCTTGCACTGCATTCAACTATCAATCTCTTTAGTTTTCTTTTATCTGGAACAATTCTTCAGACTATCTGTGTGTTTCTTAAGCTTGATAATTTTGAGGTAAAGAGGCCAGTTCTTTTGTTAAGTGTCACCAATTTGGGTTTGTGAGCTGTTTCCTGAAGATTAGATTAAGATTCTGCTGAAAGTCACTGAATAATAGATGGTAAGATTTTCTCAGTGAATCTCATCAGGACACAAAGTGACAATCAGTTTTTCCCAGGTGATATTAGCTTTGATCACTTGGTTAAAGTGGTTGGTATTCACCAGATTTCCAGCTTGTAAAGTTACCATTTTTCCATGTATAAGTAATTAGTAATTTATGGGAAGTTATTTTGAGATTATGAAAACATCATCTTCCTCATCAAATGTCACTCACTAGTTTTAGCATTCATTCCCGACTTCCTAACTCGAACATTCCCTCTATATGTTTGTTTATTTGAGTCGGGGCTCACTCTGTCACCCGTGCAGTGGCACGATCACAGCTTACCACAGCTATGGCTACCTTACCTGTGATACCCATGTGATAGTTGTGAAATGCATCTGTTAGACCATCACAGAGTATACTGTCAGTCAGTGGTGTCTCACCAATTCTTACTCCCGTTCTCAAGTAAGCCAGGTGAGGAGCCTATGAACAAGAAGTAAAAGTTGATTTAGGCTTGGTTGGAATTAACCCTTTCCTCTCTTCAAAACCCTACTCAGAACTATCTAGTTTGATTTCCTTGGTCTTCATCTAGTCGCCCTTGCAGCCCTTCCCCATTTCCAGCTCCTCAACTAGGCCAGGGCCTGAAGACCCCTGGAATTGGCAGAATGCAGCACCTGACCTACTGCTGGGAACCCATTACTCTCCTACCGACTCATTTCCAGTTCTCCCACAAACCCAACCATTCTGTGTCTGATTTCCTTAAGTATCCCATTTATTCTTTCCAAAATGGCAACTAAATATCTGTCAAATGAAGAATTCATCTAAGGCCTTAAGTGATGCTACTTATTTTAATGGGAGACAATGTCTAAAGCGAGAATAATCAGGTTGCCTAATTAACTGTTGGGGAGGGATTTCTGAGTAGAGGCTGCTCTTAACTCTCACCAACTTAATAGCAGTTATAATAGAATGGCAAGAATATTGGACATAAAGAGTCAGGAGAAGTCGGGCTCGGTGGCTCAGCCTGTAATCCCGCGCCTTTGAGAGGCTGAGGTGAGTGGATTGCCTGAGCCTGCGGGTTCGAGACCTGCCTGGGCAGGAGAGACCTCATCTCTACAATAAATCAAAAAAAAAATTAGCCGGGTGTGGTAGCGCGCGCCTGTAATTCCGGCTACTCGGAAGGCTGAGGCGGAAGGATCGCCAGAGCCCAGCAGGTCGAGGCTGCGGTGGCCGGGAGCGGCCACTGCACTCCAGTCTGGGTGACAGAGTGAGACTCCAACTCAAAAAAAAACAACAACAACAAAAAAAAAAGAGTCAGGAGAGCTTTATTTGAATGCTGGCTCTGGGCCTCCATTTCCTTATGTTTCTAGGCTGTTGTGACCACATGTACAAAGTACCTGGTAAAGTTCTACACAGATGTTCGTTTGATCCCATCAAAACCACTCTGGTAATTTTTTTTTTTGATTCGGAGTCTCATTCTATCACCCAGGTTGGAGTGCAGTGGCACACTCATGACCACCGCAGCCTCAACCTGCTGGGCTCAGGTGATCCTTTCACCTCAGCCTTCCAAGTAGCTGAAACCACAGGCATGCACCACCAAGCCTGGCTAATTTTTTAATTTATTGTAGAAATGAGGTCTCGCCAAGTTGCCGAGGCTTGTCTCAAACCTGTGGGCCCAGGCAATCCTCTCACCTCCCAAAGTGCTGGGATTATAGGCGCGAGCCACCGCACCTGGCCTCTTTATTTTTTTTATTTTTTTTTTGAGTTGGAGTCTCACTTGGTCACCCAGATTGGAGTGCAGTGGCCGTTCCCGGCCACCGCAGCCTCAACCTGCTGGGCTCTGGCGATCCTTCCCCCTCAGCCTTCCGAGTAGCCGGAATTACAGGCATGTGCTACCACGCCCGGCTGATTTTTTGATTTATTGTAGAGATGAGGTCTTGCTGCCCAGGCGGGTCTCGAACCCGCGGCTCAGGCAATCCACTCACCTCAGCCTCCCAAAGGCGCGGGATTACAGGTTGAGCCACCGAGCCCGGCTCTGTTAATTTTTGCTACCTTCAGCCTGCCCTCACCTGAGCCTCAATAATAACTAGGCTGAATCAGCCTCTAAAGAGGCACCCAAGACAGGCCCTGAGCTGCCTCAGTAGGAAGCAGAAGGTATACTTTTTCTTTCCACTTCTGTGCCAATTTGAAGAATGGAACTTGGTGAAACAAATCCCACCTGGTAAACCTACTGGAGAAGGGCACCAATCAGCGGTCCTCTTTTCTGTGTTCTATACCTTGAAAAGGTCAACAAAGTCTGGTTGGTCCTTGTTTGTAATGTGCAGAAAGGTTAAGTGGCAACATCTGTCTGTGCCTTTTACTCACAATAAGAAAGAAATTAAAAACCAAGGATATCAACCAACTAATATGATGGGTAAAAATATATCCTGCTCCATCTGCACTGGTTGATAGGCTTCTTCATCAGCCTGGATTTCCCATCCAAATTGAAGAATAGTTAACATTCAGGTAGGGATCAAGGTTGTATCTATTTTTGTTTATTTGTTGACTGGTTCCAGCCTGATATGCATCAGGCTACGGTGGCACAGACAAGAGCTGCCCAGTGCGAGACTTACCTTGCTCATATTTTCCATGCCTCCTGCAACCACAATGCTGGAGTCTCCTATCCCTACTGACTGGGCTGCAAGGCACACGGCTTTCAGGCCTGAGCCACAGATCATCTGGCAGCTCCATGCTGGTACGGAGTAGGGAATTCCTGCACCCACACTGGCTTGTCTAACAGGATTCTGCCCGCAACCTGGAAGTAGGACACAGAGACGTCTTGGCAGTCAAGGAGAAGGACGAGATGTCAGTGTGAAAGTACACACAAAATTGCCTCCGGGGTCATCTGCCACTTCTGAAAGCCTGCAGGTCAGCTAAGTTGGCCTGTCCACACTCTCTGTCATAATCAAGCCCTTGAGTACACATTGCCTTGCAGTGCTCTCTAGGTATTTCATAATAGTTTTCTCCTCCATAAATAAATTATTAACACCTTAAAACAGAACTGTCTCATCACTGATTAATCTCTTAATCCTCTTCCCTCTGACCCTGGAAAAAAACAGAACTGACACCCTCATCTTTCAACAAGGCTTGAATAAGCACTACCAAACCTAGGTGTTATAAACATAGGGCATAACTTAGGCCCTTACCTGTATTGTTGGTGCCATAACCCAGCACCAAGCACAGTGCTGAGCACATAGGAGAATTTCAATATGTTTTTACTTGGCATTTTAGGGGAATATGAAGAACCATGCATACTCTCCTATGTGTCAGGCCGGCCTGGCTTCCTTTTTTTTTTTTCTGAGTTGGAATCTCACTCTGTTGCCCAGGCTGGGGTGCAGTGGCACACTCCTGGCCACCGCAGCCTCGACCTGCTGGGTTCGGGTGACCCTTTGTTAAACCCGAGATTTTAACTCCAAGAGACCACAAAGAGCCAGCTCCACTGCAAACACACGAGGGTCTTTATTCAGGCTTGAGTCTGGGCTCACGTATGAAGCCAACGCAGCGACTTCACGGACGAGAGAGCCCCGATCCAGTATGGCAAGCAGTTTTTATGCACAATTACAGAGGGAGGGGAAAGAACTTTAAACTTATTTTTACATGATTGGGTAATTTCTTCTAATGGGTACGGGGGCACTTGGGATTGGTCTGGTCTGCGCAGGCTCTAGCTCAGCTACC